CTGCCTTGATGGCCTCAGCTAAAGGCGGGATATAAATAAAATGTTATTATATATTATTATTATATATTATAACGTGCATATGCCAGAAATTAAGACAGTGGGCTATTCCATGTCCTAAATTTTGCTTGTTTTGCACATTTGAACTGAGCCTTTCATTTTTGAACAATGCATTCATTAAAATGCATAGAGACCACACATTACCTGAGATGAACGCAAGCTTACTCATCTGTCTGTACTGAAAATGTAGAAGAAAGCTTTAAATTTGATATTATACCAGCCACAAATAAGTTACAAGGGCAGACCTATTGTGGGCATAATTACAGGAAAAATGTAACAGTCTGCCTAGAAAGCTACAAATGTCAAGACCATTTAAGAAAAATCATAGTTAAACCAGATTATAAGTATAGTAGAGAGGTTAGCATCACTCAAATGCTTAATATATACACAGTGTGTAGATACAAGGTCTTTTTAGAAATAATGGGTAGAATACATAATGAAGTACTTGGTTATTGTTTTTTAAAGTACATGGCAGCATTATGTCTGCCATAAGAGGACATAATTAAACCATCACATTTACTTATATATTTACCTAGGATAGCATATACTACTTTGTTATTCAGGTAACAGACTTAAGGAATACAGCAAACAAACAAGATTCAAACATATGCAAGCCATTTTCCTTGAGGTTTCTCACATAAGCCTCAACATTTCATCTATTTACTTTTTCCCTGGATTGCAAAGAAACTGGCCACTCAAAACAAATGAATTAAAAAAAAAAGTAGAATTATGATACCGGAGTTATTATAAATGGATCTTCTAAAATAAGCTTAATGAAACAAATGCCAAAACCAGTAGACCTTTAAACCAGTCCTACACAACATACAGCCCAGGGGCCACATGAGGCCCACCAAAGGATTTTGGGCAGCCCACGAGGGTGTGCAATGACTTCAAGGTTCCTCTACTGCTTGGCCTCCTCCTGAGGAGAGGGCCATGTGGAGGAGGAAGGGTGAATACTCACCCTGCAAGGTTCCTCTGCTACTTGGCTTTCTCCTGAGGAGAAAGCTATATGGTGGTGAGGAGGAGGATAGGCAAACATTCGCCCCTCAAGGCTCCTCCACTGCCTGGTTTTGTCCTGAGGAGAAGGCCAAGCAGCGGAGGAGAGGATGGGCAAGCGCTTGCCCAGTGAGGCTCCTCTGCTGCCCAGCTTTCTCCTGAGGAGAAGGCCAGGTGGTGACGGTGGAGGAGGATGGGTGAACACCTGCACTGCACTCCTCAGTTGCTCGGCTTTCTCCTGAAGAGGGGTCTGGGAAGAGGATGAGGATGGAATAGTATTAATTATTACTAATTAATAACAATTAATTATTAATTAATTAACATTTAATTATAACCTATCAGTGGCCCAAAGAAGTTTAGCCCATTTTAATTTTGGCCCCTACCTCCTGCCAAGTTGTGCAGGTCTACCTTAAACATTTCACTGAATCCAGTAGAATCTACTTTTAAAATAAGCATGTAAATGATGGTGTTGTAAATGGCTTCTGAAAGCAGGAATGCAACCCCAAGCCAGTGATTTTGAAACAGCTACTAATGTAAGTTCTGAATTTCTGTCAATAGATTCCCATTGTCATCTCACCTCAATTGCTGCTTGATCAAGAAGAAACTTCTTATCGCAGGATTTGAATGATTCTAAAGTATTGGTGTTATACAGTGTTCCAAGAGCAGGACAGCAGTGTGCTGGTGTTGGGGCATTCCTGAGGAACAAAAATAACATTTCCATCTGAAAGCTGTTATTGTGTAAAATCAGAATTCTTGCTACTCTGCACAATCCTTCTCCTGCAAACCCTATGCACATTTCCTCCCCTATCCTAAAATATGAAAACAAGCTACCAAAAGCTTTTAGCATCCATGCTTCCAGAAATTTGATGCATAAATCCTAGCTTTGAAGGACAAAAGAATGCTGGATAAGATGTCTAATCTGTAACAGTAAAAAGCAGCATGTATTTGTGGCAGCCATAATACATCAGGACATTGGGCAGGCACTTCAATATTTGACAGTAATGGTTTTGGTTGTCATCTAAGTTGTACTGTCAAGCTTCAAATGGAAAGTCCAAATGGGGGCTCCCTATTACTCAAAGAAAAATATTTTTAAAGGGTTCCAAAACAGGAGAGGGGGGTTGAGCACTGCTGCTAAGATTTTCAAGGTGGGAGAAAAGGCAGGAAAATAGGAAAAGGTAAGACATTGTTGCTTACATTCCTGAGATTAAAAAGGAGAGACGCCAACATGCCAACATTAAATATGCCAACACTGTTATAGCTTATGACAGATTCATATAGCAATCCTTGGCTCTTCCTATGAGTGTCAGCAAAATAAGCAACTCAAATGACTTGCTTTTCATGTTACTGGATCCAAGATCCTGACTTGTTGATCCCAAATTTGATCTCCAAATCCTGATTTGTTTGGGAGAAACAAACCATTTGATTGGGTTTGATGAAACAGGAAGCAAATATTTTCTGGTGTAACTACTGTGGTGTGAGGAGCCAAGCAGAAGGCAACACTAGATGCAGCTAATTGATAAATCAGTTTTCAGCTTTCCTAGCCTATTGTTCTGCTCAAAAGCAGCCATGCTCTTATTCTATTGATTTATATACAAACCGTTATGTGTGCTGTGTGCCTTCAAGTCATTTCCGACTTACAATGACTCTAAGGCAAAACTGTCAAGACCACGTTGCACCCTGGTCTGGAAAATGACATGGGTGTAGCCACTGAAAGGAACTGGAGCAATGGTAACAGGGTTACTACAGTTCAAGTGGCAGATGCATGAGTCAGCATTTGGTGAGCTGTGCATCATGGGAGGTCTGATGCTACATGCACAGTGGATGAGGCCAGCCAGGTATGCATTGTGGGAGGTCTGATGCAACAAGCACTGGGGATGAAACCAGCCAGGTTTCATTAGCCTGCGTGTGAGAGGATTTTTCCTGTGCCGTGTGGAGCAAGACTCTTCACAGAGACCACCTTCTAGGCATTCCTGCCTACATGCACCAACTCTGCGTGTGTGTATGCTAGATCCCGCTTGTTTGCATACCCCAACACGGGTTATGGGCCCAGTGAGTGTATAGACAATGCCTGAGTGGTTGTGAGTGTTCCAGAATTGCCAGTGGTGTTCTGCTGAATACACGGAGGGCAAAGAAGCCCTGGGACTGAGTGAGTTAAAGTGTGTTCTTCACTGGCAGTGCCATTATCAGTGTAAAGTCTGCCACTGTTAAAGTCACTGTTAAAACAGGACTTGTGAGACATTGTACAGAAACAACCTGATCCAATTGATGATTGTCAGATAGAGGATGATTGCAAGGTGAGGGCCTCGACTGTTTTAGACCTAGAACCAGGCCAGTTGAATCACATAATAATAATAATTAATAATAATAAATTTATATCCTGCCTCTCTGTAAAATAAAACCAAGGTGGCTTACAAGATAAAACAAACATCCCAGGGAAAAGCAGACAGCTTTTGATGTCTGGTGTGCCTTGGAATGAGTTCATCAGCCCGACAGAGCATTATCTAAGATGCTTTGCAGTAGAAAGCTGTACAGCTGTAAGTTACAGGAGGCTGCCTCTGTAATGGACCATCTGAGGAAAATGGAAAGCCTGTTTGCAGAGTGCAGCAATAAAGGCATTAAGATGGAGGAATCCCAAAAAGCCTTCATACTACTGAGCAGCTTGACCAGTGAGTGAGAATTTTTGATGTATGGCCTACATGGAGACGCTGAGGCAAATCTGAGGACTGAGCTTGTGGCTTCAAGGATCCTGGAGGAGGTCCAGAGAAGAGACTTCGAGGCGAGATCCAGGGAAGCTGGGAAAACAAGCTGGAGACAACCAACCAGGCCAGACATTAGTTTTGCAGTAGGGATACTGAGCAGGATAGCTGCAAAAACCAGACAGATGGACTAAATAGCAGTGAAGTGCATTGTGCAGTACTTGAAAGGCACAAAAGACAGATGCTTATTGATAACAGGAGGGATGTCAGAGATGGAAGGTTTTGCAAACAGTTCTTTTGCATCTGAGACAGCTGATAGGAAGTCAGTAACTAGACTAATAATCAGTTATGCTGATAGCTCTGTCATCTGGAGGTCCAGAAAGCAAAACTGCATAGCACTCAGTAAAACAGAGGCAGAGTTTCCCGCGTTGTCAGAGGTTGCAAATGAAATACAGTGGGCTAGGCAATTGTTGGAAGACCTAGGAGAAAAGTGTAGTAAAGCAACTGTGGTAAACGAGGACTCACAGGCATGTATTGGCATGGAAGAGTCAGAAAATCTGAAATGTAGGACCAAGTACATCGCAGTGAGATACCAGAATGTGAGAGAGCTTTTGTAAAAAGGACTGCTGAAGCTGCAGTATGTTGGTACAAAGGACAACATAGCTGACATTTTCACAAAGCCACTACCTGTGGAACACCATGAGAGGTTGGTTAGCAGGCTTGGCATCAGTGTATGAGGTCTACATTACACTTGGGACAAATACAAGGACACATGGAACACACTGCATGTCATTTTGGAAGGGATTGTCAAGACCATGTGGCACCCTGGTCTGGAAAATAATATGGATGTGGCGACTGAAAGGAACTGGAGCAATGGTAACAGGGTTACTACAGTTCAAGTGGCAGATGCATGAGTCACCATTTGGTAAGCTGTGCATCATGGGAGGCTTGATGCAACATGCACAGTGGATGAGGCCAGCCAGGTATGCATCATGGGAAGTCTGATGCAACAGGCACTGGGGATGAAACCAGCCAGGTTTCATTAGTGCATGGCTGTCACATGTTCCCAAGAAGGCCACCTATATAAGGGAGAGGGTCAGAATCTCCGTTGTTGGTTAGTTGTGGTTGGTGGTTGGCAAGATTTGTTCAGAGAAGGTTTGCCACTGCCTTCCCCCTGAGGCTGACTGTATGTGACTTGCCCAAGGTCACCCAGTGGGTTTTACAGACAAATGGGAAATTGAACCCTGGTCTCTGGAATCGTAGTCCAATGTTCAAACCACTGTACCACACTGGCTCTCTGCAGAACACCTTACTAGCCAGCTTGTTACTTACAGTAGTAGAAAACTGATATTAAATGTTCTCCATGATGCCCCTGTCTATGTTATGTTCACATGTTTATGTATTTATTTTATATGTTGTCTTTCTCCAAAATTGGATCCAAGGTGGCTCACAAAAAATGCTTTAAAAACAGTACAGTTTCTAAAATATAACTAAAAACATTACATTAATATAACAAGTTGAACTATAGAACCACTAAAAACACACAAAAGCATACAATCCAATAAGAAGCTTCCCTAGGTGAAGTTACATATTAAACACCTGCTTGAAGAAAAAAATAAAATAAAAAAAATGTCTTTCAGTGAAAGGGGAGCAGAGGGGGCCAGCCTAGCCTCTTGCAGGAAGGAAGCCCAAAGGGTGAGAACAGCCACTGAGAAGGTTCTCTCTCTCTCTCTCTCATATGGGGAGATATGGTCTTTCAGATAGTCTTTACCTAAGCCATATAGGGCTTTATAGACCACGACCAGCACTTTATATTGTGCCCAAAAATGAACCAGTAGCCAATGAAGTTGTTTTAACAAGGGAATTATATGCTTCCTATAACTGGACCTGATTAGCATTCTGGCCACAGCATTTTGGACCTGTTGAAGTTTCCAAACAGATTCCAAAGGCAGCTCCACATTAGGATGTATTCAAAACATGTGCCACCATAACCAGATCTGACATCTCAAGGAACAGGTGGAGCTGTAAACTGTACAAATGCACTTGTGGCCAGTGTTAAGACCTGGGCATTCAGTTGAGTCCAGGAGCACACCCAAACTGTGAGCCTGAGATTTCAGGGGGAGTGTAACCCATCCTGCAAGGACAGAATCCCTATTCCCTGATCTGCCTTTCGACTGAATAGGAGCATCTCTGTCTCGTCTGGATTAAGTTTCAATTTGCTTACCCTCACTAAGTCTATTCATGTATTCAACACACTTATTTAAAAAATGTTTTATACTACCATTCAACATACTGTAGTCATATCCAGGCCAGGGTACAGTATATAAAAGTAACAATTAGATCAATAACTCCTATTAAAATACTGGTCCAAATAAAAATGTTATTGCTTGGTACCTGAATGGTAGTAAAACTCCTTGGGGAGAACATTCCACAAGTTTTGTTTTACTGCCAAGAAAGCATATTTCCTCACAGATAAATTTCTATCTCAGATGGAAGACATAAATGAAAAGTTATGGCAAAGTTTAAAAAAAGCAAAAAACAAAAGCAAAAAACAAATTTCTGGAAGCATGGATTATAATGAGTAAGCACTCCTTCAGTATGTGGGTCCCACCATGGGCAGGCCCTGCTATAAATTGGGTGAGGAGGATGGCAGTTCATTCTGCAATATTGGGACAAGGCATCCAACCCCCTGAGGGCATAGTGTTGCAGTGCCACAACCAATGGTGGGTCCCATTCACCCATGATACAGCTTTGTATGTTCAGATACACACTGTGGCATCTACAAAGGCCAGTGCACCTTTTACACCTGAAAACACTATATTTTGTGGCACGAAGGCTATGTGCAATTGAAGCCACAATGTTTATATCCATGTCCAACTTGCTAAGATACATGCTAAATAACTTCTCATAACTTACATATCAAAAGCACTGAATTCTAAAGTTAAACGAGCTGGCATACCAGCAGGATCTCCTGGAAAGAAAGGGAAAAAAAACATTTTTGAGAACAGGTAATACTTAACAATATTCCTCTAGATATTGTAAGCAACCATGTTAATAATCTATTACACAGTTCTGACATAGCCCATCATATCATTATTTATGACTAAGCAATTCAGATGTCCTTTCCCCACGTGGTGGTTTCACAACTGGTTACCAATTTCATAGCACTAATGACATATTTCCTCATTCTGAATAACACAAGAAACTCTCCCTTTCTGAAAGGGCAGTAGTTGAGCTTCGACACTTTCCTATGTACAGCCAGGATGGAGGGGGAGGGCGTTTTCTATCCAAACCCAATGGCTCCTTTTATCTAAAACATGCTAGGCTCCTTAGCTACAGAAGAGCTGGTGGAATAATTCGTATTAATTATTTGAGCTATTTTGTTGTTGTTAACCACCCCCAAATCAATCTCAACCCATGGTGACCCTGTGGATGAGACATCTCCAAGTCTCCCTGTCTTCCACGGCTCTGCTTAAATCCTAAAAACTCATACATGTGGCCTTCTTAATAAAGTCTATCCGTCTAGCATGAGGCCTTCCTCTCTTTCTACTTCCCTCTACCTTTCCTAGCATTATTGTTTTTTCTAGTGAGTCCTCCCTTCTCATGATGTGCCCGAAGTATGACTGCTTCAGTTTTGTCATCTTGGCTTCCAGGGAAACTTCTAGCTTCATATGTCCTAGGACCCATCTGTTTGACTTTTTAGGCTGTCCATGGAAGTACTGAGGAAGTAGACCAATTCCATGAAGCTTATGTTACAACTTCTTCCACACAGTTAGTCTCAAAGGTGCACATTTTTTCAGTGTAGCAGATACTGCCATTAATCAGAGTCAAAGTGTCACCCTGCACTGACAAATTCAGAATACAGCTGTCCCTCTGTTCTCATGGGCTTGAAGTCTGCGTTTTTACATATTCACGGAGGAGTGACCTCCGTTAAAATCAATGGGGCGCACGCCCACAGGAGTGTGCCCCATTCAAGCCTATGGGCTTGAATATTGGCGAGTCTCCATTTTCGTGGGGTGGGTGGGTCCGGAACGGATCCCCACAAAAACAGAGGGCCAACTGTAATTTACTCAAGAATTTGCACTGAGTTCAATGGCGTTTAGAGGAAAGCAAAGCCTATCTATCCCTCTTCTGACGAAATCTTGCCAAGAAAACACTGTGACAGGTCTACCTTAGGGTTGCCATAGGGTTGCCATAAATTGGAAGCATCTTGAAGGAACACAGCAACAAACTGTGAAAAGTGACTGACTGTATTCTGTGCACACTCATCTGAAGGCATTTCCCATTAAGCAAGTTTTTGGTGTAGCTAAATGCTGTACAAGGAAGCAATGATGTAACTAGGGCTGCATCTTCACTGAAGAAAAAAATCCAGGTTGACACCAATTTAACTGTCATGGCTCAAGGCTGTGGAATCCTGGGATTTGTAGTTTGCTGTGGCACCAAAACTCTCTGACCAGAGTGACCAGATGTCATAACCGCAAAGGAGGACAAGGCAGTGTGAGATGGATGACATTTGAGAAAAATGTAGGACATTTACAACATAAAAGTTAAAAACACTCATATGAATGCAAATCCATGCAGACTGCCAGAAATAGTGCAAATTGAGTCCACTTTTAGGGTTAGGGTTAGGGAATCATGGGAGCTGTAGTTTATTGTGGCACCAGAGCTCTCTGACAGAGAAGGCTCAATGTCTCAGAGAGAAAAAACAATTCCCATGATTCCCTAGCACTAACCCTAACCCTTAAAGTGGACTCGATTTGCATATTTCTGGCAGTCTGCAACCCCCCTTAGTGAGGCTCAAAATGGAAGACATTTTGAAATTCCTCCTGGACAAAAGCCTGAAAGATAGGACATGTCCTAAATTGGGAGGACCTCTGGTCACCCTAACTCTGTCCCGCTTTAACTGCCCTGGCTCAGTGCTAGGGAATCCTGGGAATTGTAGTTTATTGTGGCCCCAGAGCTCTCTGACACAGGGAAGATGAAATGTCTCACAAAGCTACAGTTCCCAGAACTCCACAGCATTGAGCCAGGGCAGTTAAAGCGGTCTCAAGATGGGTTATTTCTGCAGCGGAGATGCAGCCTTGGTTCTTATTTTATTTCTTATTCAAGGCTCCTCCAGAGAAAGGACAAGGGGAGGCGTTGTGTGTGTGTGAGTGTCTCACCGTTAGAGTAGTACCCTCGGATGGCTCTGGGGCCCTCGTCCAGCTTGTACTCGTTGAGCTTCTTCTGGGTCAGCTCGTGCCAAAAGCCGGCATCCAAGGCGCTGCTGAAGGGC